AAAGCCACTCTGTATAACACAGTAAAAACCTGTCTCAAAAATCTGATCAGCAATAAATGATCAAGACTTTGGAGTCTTTGAGGCCACCCAACTCTGAACTGCTTGGGGCTCTATCTGAGACCCTCATGGTGAAAACAGAAAATAAGAGCTCTTGGAAATGAACCTAGCACCCCACCGCTGCCCGTGTAGACAGCCAACAACCAGCACCTGCTGTTGATGCTCAAAGGGCCCAGAACAGGGGCCAACGACATCAGCATCTAAGAGTCCTGACTAACACACTGTTATTCACACACACACGCACACACAGCCCTCCCACACCTCGGAGCTGAGGACCAAACCCAGGGCCTTGTGCTTGCTAGGCAAGGGCCCTGCCACTGAGCTAAATCCCTAATGCCCTGACTAAGGCACTAATGTGAAGAGCAACCCCAGCCTTTATACCACAGAAGCCAGTCAGGGCACTTGTGGGCAGAAGGTGGGATCTGAATATAAGGGGGTTGGCCCAGAACCAGGTTTTAAGGACATGAGAGAGCAGGAGAGAATGCCCAGGCATGGGGAAGGAACTACAGCTCAGGGCAGGGTTTAGAGCGTCTACACTGCATAGCCCTGGGACCTGAGACAGTCATGGTATGGAGTACAAATAGATTGTGCTGTCTAGAGCCATACACACCCAGCGACATGCTAGGACTGGACACCTGGGACTCCGGCACTGCAGGCATCCTGGACCCCAACAAAAGGCAGGACTGGGTAGAAAAAGCTCTGGCCCATTCCAGCTGCTGCTCAGTTAGAACACAGACAGCAGCTTGCAAGGAGGTATGTTCTCCAACCCAGTGGGGAGTAGGGGCCTGATCCAGCCCCAGGCTGGCCATCATGAGACTGAGGAGGGGGTGGGGCCCACAACAGGCCAGACAGGAACTTTCTTTAGATCTGTAATCTGCTCTAGTAATTACAGGTGGCCCCACTCTGCCCTCTGGGTCCAGGCTGCCCATCCCATCCTGACTGACTGAAGAGCACTGCTAACAAGAAAGGCGGGTATAGAAGGTTCTAGGCCATTGGACGCTCTAGTCAGACAGGCCCAGGAGACTGGCATAGCTTCACTTGAACAAACTCGTGGAAACGGGAAGGTTGTGGCAGAGATTACAGATTGCAAAAACAAAAGATTTGTTGCCTTGCAGCATACCAGATGCTCTTTCCAGCAAACTCCCTTAATCTGGTGATTAATATCATCAGTTTCTTTTATGCCCAAGGAAATGTGGACCCAAGAAGCTAACAGAGATAACTGCAGCAGAGATGGGCCTCTGTTAAGGACTGTGTCCATGACAGCACTGATCACCTGATCTTTGTTGTCTACCATCAAAGATGGCCTGACCCTGGTTCAAGACAGATAGGTTCAGTTACTAGAAAACTAAGGAACACTGGGTGGGAACGCTACAGGTTTGGGAGAAGCCCCGTGTTCCAGAAGGGTCATCCCAGACCCACTATTCCACGGAAAGCCTGGTTCTCTCTGGTTTCCTAACCAGAGACCTAAGTGGGAGCTGTTTTGTAGTGTCTCCTCAAACCTTTAGAACATTTGAGGGCTTTGGAGATGGTGAAGTTGATAGCCAAGGATCTGCCTTACAGCATGAGGACTGGAGTTTGGATTCCAGCACCTACATAAAAGCCTGTGAGCTTAGGAAAGGGAGGCAGGAAAAGAGAATGATCCTTGAAGCTCATTGGTTGACAAGCTTTAGTGAGAGACCTTTTTTCAGAAACTAAGATGGAGGGCTGGCAGGGTGGTTCAGTGAGTGGGTAAAGATGCTTACAGCAAAGTCTGACGAACTGATTGAATCCCCAGGACTCACACAGTAGAGAACAAACCCACACAAGTTATCCTCTCCTCTTCACATATACATGACACATAGTCAGTAAATAATTGGATAAATTTAAAGAAGGTGGAAAGAGGTCAAGAAAGATGCCTAACTTTGACCTCGCTCGTCTACACGCACTTGCACATGTGTGCACCCCACTCACAGGTACGCACACTGGTATACACACACTTGGATTTCCAAAGGAGACTGAACGCTAACGTATCAGCACTCTGAGCCCCTAACCCAGTACCGAAGGACCCTTGCATGACACAGCCACTCACAAGCTTTAAAATTCTCTTTATTAAAAATCATTTCCTCCTTTTGTAAAAACAAACACGTTGGGTCAGTTATATAGATCAGAAAAAGTGATGACAATTTATATAAGACACTCAAAATAGTCTAATACTTTACAGTTTCAAACTTAAATTAACTAGTAGTTCTGCTCATCTCAAAAACTCACAAAAACAATCTCTGGTCCAGTTCAAGTATAATCTTACAGATCACCGCCTTGGACTGTCCAAGAATGGGAAACCCGAACGCTAACAGCTGCTGCTCATATCAACAAAAAGTTCACCAGAGCCTCTGCGAGTGCCATCCGGAGGAAGAACACAGGTCTTCTGCTACACTAGCCCAGGGTGCAAAAGAATCTTTTGTGCAAGGTAGCAAACTGTTCATGAGCGACCTTGGGGAGACATTTTGAAAGGACTGACAAAATACGGAATAAACGTTTTTTTAAAAAGAAATAAATATTTTCCTAGTTGTCTTTAATACTGCATTGCGTGTAACACACATAAAAAGTGCAAGGACCATGCCAATGGAATTATATAAAAATAAATATATATGTATATATACACACACAAGTATAGAATTATCCATGACTTTAAACTTAGAGATTGTCTTTTCTTTCACTCTTTGGGGATTTTCTCCAGTTTGCTCCTACAAAAGTCAATTTTACAACCGTGGGAACCATCCCACTGCTTGAGAACTGGGCCATGTGGCTTTCCATAGAAATGCTACTAGCATAGGAGCCAGGGGTGTCCATGAGGTCTGGCTTACTCTCTAGAAGAAAAAGTGTCCAGCCTCTGATGGAGGTGCTGATGGACTTAGGGATGTGGCCAGAAGCTGTTCCCAGAGGTCAAAGCTTTTCTGAGAAATGGAAGACTTTGCTCACAATCACAGTGCTGGCTTACTGCCTGTAGAATCTAGCACCTGGGCACGCAGACACTCTAGTTAGTCTTTGGATACCACATTCTAAAGCCACCAACTTCCCATCACTCCTGTTCAGACTGGCCTTCATCCCTCCTAAAGGTCTCTCCTGGCCAGGAACCGCAGGCCTCAAGGTTTAAACACGGTCATTTCAGATGTTTGTTGCATTCTTTTTTTTTTTTTCTCCTGTGCCTCATTATCCTCACTGATAACATGTTAGTGCTGAACTAAGTCACTTATCCATCCCTCTTCCATTTGTGCAAGGGAAGAACCACAGTAGAAGGGGAAAACAGACGCGATCCCTTGCCTTTACGTGGGAACATAAACAGGCAACTCACACAGCAAACCACCCATATCTATGGCACCTTCAGGGAGGCATGTCCACTCATGAAGGTGGCACCAGCCTCTCTCTGACCTTGGGGTCCATTCTATGGCTCTAGTGGAACCATAGTCCTCTAGTGCCCATGTCCCAAGACCTTCCACTAAGCCCTGTCCCACATGGGAAGTCAGGACCTGTTCTTTCTAGGATTTTAACATCCAAGCCGGCATAAGCAAGGCCCTCCATTCCCTACCTACAAGTACCCAGCAAATCAAGTGTTTTAGTTCCTCCTTCAGTGGGGGATCATCCTCCAACCATTGTAGTACAGGTACCCCAAAGCTGAGGGACCACGGATAGATCAAGGCCAGATGCCAGTCTCTGGCTCCTGAGTTAGGCTGACACTGTGAGCTGAGAGGTCGGCATGCACCCTGGACCCACACTGGTTTCCTCGGACATGGCTGACCTCAAGTTCAGTTAAAGTGAACCCATACCAAAGTCACTGTCCTGAGTGGACCAAATTCAGACCCACCTTAATTCAAGAAGTTTGAATTGAATCTATCACAGCTCCTACAACAGTGTTTTTCTTTGCTCCATAAAATTAATATAATTTTACTTTAAGGCACTGGCCTGGTTGTTTACTAGAATAGCTGAAAATGAATGACTTCTTAAAAAATAGGAGTGCTGGGGCTGGGCAGAGTGCTCATCTTTTGTGCTGGAGGCCCTGGGTTTGATCCCCAGCACCACCGTACCTGTAATCACAGCTCTCAGGAGGCAGGAGCAGAAAAGTCAGGAGTTCAAGAGAAGCTTAGTTCCAGAGAAAACTAAAGGCAATCCCTGGACTACATGAGCCCTGACTCTAGACAAAAACCCAAGACTTTTTAGCTAGGCATATAGCTCAGTGGTAGAGCTCCTGTCTAGAATATATAAGGTTCTGGGTTCGATTCCCAGCACTAGCCAGAAACTGGAAAAGGAAAAGGAGCCTTTCAAAATGATGGGGTCCAACTGGAGGAAATCTTAATGAAACCACATCCACCTCTGCCAACTGATTCTTCGGTTGCAGAACCTGACTCAGCCTTCCTACCTGTGGGACATACAAAAGCCAGCTTGCAAGACCACTGCGGGTTCATGGAAGTGACTCTAAGTCCATCGTTTCTGTTACACTCTTTCTCTTACATGACCCAGCCTCACTTGACAGACCTACCATATCCAGTCAAAAATTTAAACACAGTGACAATCCCTGAGAAGTTGGATTTTATGAAAAGGAAGTGAACTTTGGCACAGAAAAGAGAGGTGAGAGGAAGAGAGAAAAACACTAAAAGAAAGAGGAGGCCACAGGAAGCTGGTCACCCTTGGTGGGCGGGGCCCAGAGGGTGAGGCCGTTCCCAGAGATTCTTGAGGGTTGTAGGGCTTGTCTCGGGAACAAGCCCACGCACCACATCCTGGTCCTGCCTGGCTCTCCTTCCTCTCTGGTCTCAGTTCTGCCCCTGAAGCCAGGCTGGCCCTAGTGCAGCAGGCTTCCCATCCACCTTCCAGAGACAGTGGTGACAGCGGCAGCGGCGGCGGCGGCGGCGGCGGCGGCAACAGCGGCAGCGGCGGCGGCGGCGGTGGCGACGGCAGCAGCAGCAGCAGCATCAGAGCTTTTTCCTTTCAAATTGTGGCACAATCCCGCTGTCCTCCGGGCTTGGGCTGCATGCCACCTCAGTCTCCTTCAGGCCCTCCTCTGCCAGCTGGGACAAGTACTTCTGTGGTGGAGAGAGGGACAACACAGGCAGAGAGATGTCAGTGGTGGCATATGTGTGACAGTGTGCACGCACACACTGGTATGTTTGTGTGTGAATGTGTGTGTGTGTGTGTGTGTGTGTGTGTGTGTGTGTGTGTGTGTCCAGGACTGCTTTTTTTACGTACTTGTGGCCAATGGGAGCCATGTTTCCCATCTGCAATGTATCTTAGGGCAATGGGACCCCATTATATGAGTTTACATACAATGTATCTTGTAAGAAAAGTAAAAAGTATAGATACTAACCATAGCAACCACCCTCTGGCCCTTTTTTGTTGCCAAGGACTAACTGCCTGGCTAACAGGAACTCATTGTTCAGGACAATGCTACCTGTTTTCCAGAGAGTTTGGCAGAAGGAGGGAAGGAGGATAGCAGAAGCCCAGGAGTGGCCCATGGTGACAATCCTGTAGAATGGCTTAGGGCCCCTCGCTGGAATGAAAATAGCACGTCCTGTCCTCTTTTCAGTGAAGGCCTCCCTCTGGAAGCACTGCAGCTATGATTGGCCATGGCCAATAAGCCAGCGGGGGTTCGCTTACGTTTGAAATATTAGGGATCAGTGCTGTGAGATCATCGGAGAAAAGGCCTGACTGTGTTGGAGCAGCAAGAACAGTGCAAGCAGCACTTCCCTGGTAGTTAGAAAAGGTCAAGTGTGCTGTCTCAGCTAAGAGATGTCCTGTGTGCAAGCCCTCTGTCTCTGCAGGCAAGTGACCGAACCTCCCTAATGTCTGAGGCATAAGGGTAACCCTGGCAACCCTGCAAGGAGTCGGGGAGTTGAGGCAGTGTTTTCTATAAGTGGAAAACTGATGAGATTTCTCACAAAGCATTGTGCGTGACGCCTGGCACACGGTAAGGTCAGGAATGTCAGGCGGAGATGAACCAGCTGCAGGACTGGGAGAGCCCCTCACCCCCTTCACCCCTGCAGACAACTAACATACTAAGTGAAGGCAAGCATTCTCCTCCCCTCCCCCTGCTATGAAACTGTAGCGTTTGAAAGGGGTGTGGTTGGACTTGGAGAAGGGCCCCTCGACCTCGGGGTGAGGCTGCTGCTGGGGACCCCAGTTTTTCCTCTGACTCCAGCATTCTGAGTGATGAGTGCTCTCCATATGTGTGCATTCTTCCGTGGGGCCTGCAGCCACCTTCATGCTCAGGAAGGCCTACACTCACTGTGCTAGATCCCTCCTTGTGGATCCATGTGGAACCATGACCAGCAGTGGCACAGCGAGATTTCTGGAAGCTGTACTAGGCCCCTTCCACGCCTGCTCTCACCTCCCAGAGCATCCCTGATGCTCCACAAAAGCTCTCCTGACCAAGGCTAACTTCAGAAGCTGCCTGACTTGAGTCAGGTGGAATCTGCTGTGTGGACCAGAATTCTTCAATTTTATAGTTGGCAGAAGCTATAGAGACAGTGGCATTCTGCCAATGTCCATGACAGAATCCTTCTCTGAGATGGCTGTGGCAGAGGCTCCTGGTTCCCTGATGGGTACACCAGGCACCTCAGCGAGGAGCTGAGGCAATGTCTATGCCTGATGTATCTAGGGACCACAGGAATGGCACTGGCCAGGTGCAGGGATACGAGGCTGCCTGGAGTTTGGACCCAGAGGCCCTGGACATGATGTAGCCCACTGCCCTGGAAGACAGGAAATTTCTGAATTCTTCCAGCTTTCTCAGTGAGAGTGAGCGTGAATCCTGGGGTCTCCTTGGGGGCTATACAATTCTACTAAGAGCTCAGAGTCCCACACTGAGGAATTAAAACATTCCCAGAAAGGCCGTTAAAATGAAGATTCTTGACTGTGAGTCTCAGCATCTGTTTTGAGGTGCTACTGGATAGAGCCTCTCAGAGGACGACTCTGTCAGGCTTCTGTCTGCAAGCTTAGCAGAGTATGGTTCATAGTGTCATGGGTTGGCACCCTCCCATAGGGTAGGTCTTTTGTTGGGCCAGGCATTGTTGGGCATTCCCTCAATCTCTGCTCCATCTGTTCTATCTTTATCCCTACACATCTCATAGGCAGGGTAAATTTGGGGTTGACGTCTTTGTGGGTGGGTTGGAGTTCCCCTCTCTCTAGTAGGAGGTTAGTCTAGTTCATGGCTGTCCTCTTCAGGCTCTATGCCTCTGCTACTAGGAATCTCTTCTTGGGAGCCCTTCATATCCTCCCAGGAGCCAACCCTGACTTAGGTCTCCAGCTAGTCACAGAGATGCCCCCACCCTATGTTTCTCTTTTCCTTAAGGAGTCTTGTGAAAAAGTGAGCGGAAAGAAAAAAGGACCATGGAGATAACCTAAGACCCCTGCACAGATGTAGCCCATGGAAGTTCAGTATCCAAGTGGGTTCCATTGTGATAGGAACAGGGACTGACTCTGACATGAACTGATTGGCCTGCTCTTTAATTACCTCCCCCTGAGGGGGAAGCAGCATTATCAGGCCACAGAAGAGGCAGCCACTCCTGATGAGACTTAATTGACTAGGATCAGAAGGAAGGAAAAGAAGTCCACCCCTATCAGTGGACTTGGGGAGGGGCATGCATGCAGAAGGTGGAGGAAGGGAGGGATTGGGACGGGAGGAGGGAGGGAACCGCGGGGGGGATACAAAGTAAGTAAAGTGTAATTAATAAAGAAAAATAAAAAAAAAGAAAGAAAGAAAAAAGGACCTGGAGGTGACAGGAGCTCCACAAGAAAACTGACAATGACAACTAACCAGGGTCCCAAAAGGGACTGTGGAGACTGAAGCGCCAACCAAGGACCATGCATGGACTGGACCCAGGCTCTCTACACAGATGTAGCAGATGGACAGCTTAGGCTTCATGAAGGTCCTCAGGTAAGGGAAGTGGGGACTGTATAGGAGAAGGACTCACTTGCCAGCTTTTGGATCACCTCTCCCTGGCAGGACTGCCTTGCCAGGCCATAGGAGATGAGGACATGCTCAGTCCTGATGAAACTTGATGAGCTGGGGTGGATGGCAAAGGGAGCATCCTTTTCTAAGGAATAGGAGAGGGGGGAGAGGAAAAGGAGTGAAGGTGGGACTGGGAAGGGAGGAGAGATGGGGCTACAACCAGGATGTAAAGTGAATGAAAATAAATATATTGAAAAAATTTTATTATGAGCCACTGTTGGCATGTGGCTCAGTGGTATAGTGTTTGTCTAGTATGTTCAAAGCCCTAGGTTTGATCTGCAGTACCATGAAATTTTAAAAATGGAGTTTCCTGAGTTTACACTTGAAAGCATAAGCAAGTGGGGGGAGGGTAGGCTCTAAGAAGCGTTTTTAAAAGATGTTAGCTAAGTCTGTGGAGAATCAGACTGGATTACCCCATGACCGTCTTGTGAAAAGTCTAAGAATGATGATGTCCCTAGGTTGGATGACTGTCCACGAAGCGCTGTAGAGGCCTGTGTGTAGTCCCTGCTCTGGCCAAACCAGGCCTCCCCAAAAGAGAGATAGGACATGTGTTTGCTGTGGCCATAGGGCAGCTGCTCTCTAGAGGGAAATCAAGAGACTTAAATGGCGTGTGTGGGCACAGCCAGAGAGTCTTTTACAAGTGGGAAGCCAGGTCAGGAGGTTACAGGCCTTAGTTTTGAATATTAACTAGTGGAGTAAAAAGAAATGAGTGATCAAAAATCAAGGGATCGGGTCCAAGGCCCAGAAACTTACTCTGCATTGCCTTGAGGGAATCTTTTCTTTGAGTTTCAGTTTCCTCAAGGATAAAGCAAACCTGAGACTCATAACAAGTTGTTCACATTGTAACCATTTCAAGAAAGTTCTTAAATTACATGTTACTGCACCCTCAATATGTGACCTAGTACAAATACTCCAAGACTCACATTCCTGCTTAAGAACCACTAGATTAAGTCCAGCAAAAGGCTCAGTGGGTAAGGGTGAGTGCCTCCAGGCCTGAGAACCGGAGTTTGATCCCTGGAACTCAAATGATGGAAGAGGGAACCTATTTCTGCAAGTTGCCCTCTGACCTCCATGTGCATGCTATAGCATGTGTGCTCCTACCTTCAACACAAAATAAATAAATTAATTAGTTAATGTAAAAAATAACACACACTGACAATAAAACAAAAACACACCATCAGATCAATCACTCTAAAAATAACTATAAGAGGAATACCTAGCCTAAAACAGCGCAATGACACCCTGTGTACTTCTGAGCCACGTGGTTCAAATGCTGGTTGTTTGTTTATTTACTCATTTGTTTGTTTGTTAGGTGTCCTCTACCCCTCTCCATCTTATGTTTTGAGACAGAGTCTCTCAGCAAACCTGATGCTTACCAATTTGGCAACACTCCCTGGCCAGCGAGCTCCAGAGATTCTTCTGTCTCTGCCTCCCCAATGCCAAGATTCTAGGCGTGCATCCCATGTCCAGCTTTCATGTGAGTGCCAAGGATGGATATGCACATCTTCATGTGTACATGGCAAGCACATCTCCCTACCTCTAAACTCTGGTTTTGACGTTTAACCCTCTCCCACAGCAGCTGAGATACATGTAAAACCCAGCCTGTGCCAGGACTTAATCATGAAAACCACACTCACAACAGGTATAGACTCTGCCTCAGCTCCTCACGTGGTCCCACCTCAGTTCATGTTTCCCTGGTGTGCCCATCAGGGAGCCAGGAGCCTCTGTCACAGCCATTTTAGAGGGGGTTTCAGTCAGGGCCCTTGGCAGAATGCCAAATATTAGCATTGCTCATTGACTTTAAGATACTTCCGAAAACCTATTTCCATTTCTGAAATAAAAATACTTCATACAGTTGTTAGAGCTTCACAGATTTGCTGTTTTGCTTTTCCTAATTGGTATTAAAATAGTGTATCAGGCTGGGGGTGTGGCTGAGAGACTCTGTGATCAGAATACTTAATGCCAATCCCCAGTGTGACAAAGAATATGAAAAAAAAAATGGTACTAACAAATAAAGGCACCTTAGAGCAGATGAAATATGGAATTTAATACATTCTATAAGTGACATTTTGGAGCTGTTTTGCTTTGTTTGGTTTGGTTTTTCAAGACAGCATTTCTCTGTGTATCCTTGGCTGTCCTGAACTGGAATTCACAGTGATCCGCCTACCTCTGTCTCCTTGAGTGCTCGCATTAAAAGCGTGTGCCACCATGCCCAGCTATAAGTGATGTTTTAATATAGTGAATTGCTTAGTCATTTCATTTACCACTGGTCTCCTACACTCAACCAGAAGCCTATGAGGGATTTGCCTATATTTGTTGCTGTTGTATCTACAGAGCCTAGAACAGCTCTGGGTATATGAGCAGCCTGTGACAACAATTTGTTATGCTCTCTGAACATTTAACTAGGGCAAAACTGTGATTTTCATTCTAGTTAAAAAAAAAAAAAAAGTTACCTGCACAGAAGAAGAAAACAGGAAATTCCTGCCGCTGAAGCACCCAGGCCTGGCTGAGAGTGTTCAGCTGTATGCTGAATGTGTCAAGAGAATACAGCTCAGAGCTTGACTTTGCTCCACCTGGCTAGGGGCAGCACCAGAGTATTGTACGGAAGTGGAGTTGGTGCTTCGAGTGCCCTTAGCATGAAGCCATTGTGTGGGACTGCCTGGAAGAGTCAGGGGTTGTCCACACAGTGCTAGGTGAAACATGTCTGAAAGGGATGCTTGGAGAAGAGCAAGTCCCTGTGCTTGAAGATGGAAGTTCAGGTCAGAGGCAACTGAGGCCTAAGACTTCTGGGTACGCGGCTTGTGGATGGACTGAGAAACATTATAAGGTGTGTAGCAAGGAAGGCAACCGTTTACCTGTAAGTTCCTGTAGTGGACAGTGCTGCGGCAGTGGCTCACTTTGGCTGCCTCCTCACTTGTGTAGAACAGGCCACACAACTTGCAATAAAAGCCGGTCCTGGGAACCACGAACTCCACTCCTGGGGAAGGGTGGGGAATGGACAGGCAGCATTAGCTAAGTGAGGAAGCGCCACGCTCCCCCCACCCCACTGCCTTTGCTGTTGACTTTGGTGGTGACAAACTCCTCCAAGCCTCACCTCATTGCCCACATTTACAACATGGCCATACCCATTCACAGGTGGTTGTGAATGCCAGGGTGTGCCACAGCAGGGTGGAGGGCACTCAGCCATTAAACACTTGCTGCCTGGCCCTCCATGTCTGGGCCCATCAACCTGCCTCTG